TCCTCCTCCTCCTCCTCCTCCTCCCCCTCCTCCCCCCCCCCTCCTCCTCCTCCTCCTCCTCCTCTCCTCCTCCTCCTCCTCCTCCTCCTCCTCCTCCTCCTCCCCCTCCTCCTCCTCCTCCCCTCCTCCTCCTCCTCCTCCTCCCTCCCCCTCCTCCTCCTCCTCCTCCTCCTCCTCCTCCTCCTCCTCCTCCTCCTAAGATTGCCCACTGGTTTTGGGGTCGCATCTCGGCTCGGCGGACGGCTGCCCGGGACCCCCTCGGCGAGGCGCAGCCGCTGGAATGCACCCTGAGACTGGAAAGCCGCCGAGAGCCGGCGAAAACGCTCGAGAGCGTCGAACCTCCAGCCGGCTGTCCCCCTCCGAGCCTGTCCCCTGACGTTGCCCCTGAGAGGGGGTCGGCGGCGGGGCAGCAGCGCGCGCCCAGGTCCATTTTTGATGGTCCAGGGGCCCGATGACGGGCCCCTGGAAGCCGAAATGAAGGACAAACGCCCAGATTGAACAAATAATTGTAAGTCGGGCCTGTCCCCCTTACAGGGGGATTTTCGACGAAGAATACAAAAATACAAAAAAAGCAAAAAATAATCCAAAGATAGTCTGGGGACTATTTTGTTAAAGTATTTTTTGACCTTTTCGGAGTAGTTTTGGGGTATTTTTCATTTTTCGTCGAAAATCCCCCTGTAAGGGGGACACGCCCGACATAAAAATCATCTCGTCGGAGATCTGAGCCTGATCGGGGGCTGCCGAATGCGGCCCTGGACCAGGGTGCAGTCAGCTTGTTGCTCCAAATTTGGGGCCCCCGGGGTCGCCTCGGCATCGTGATGGGGTGCTCTGGAGGCCGTGGGGGCCTCCTTCGGCATCCCGAAGGCACCTCGGGCCATGGGCACTTCCAGCAGCGCTTGGGCAGGCGTGAGGCTCGGGTCTGGAGGACTCGAGTTGGCATGACGGGGCGGTCAGGAAAATGACGAGATCAAACTTGAAATTTGGACGCGAGCTCCCTGTGTAAACATCCCACGCGAACTGCACTGTCAAAATCCAGGACGGGCCCGTTAGAAAGCGTCGGCGAACTCGAGACTTACGTTTTCCCTGAACTCCCGAACTGACATTTGGACGCCCGAGATGGGTACGTACAAAGTGGGTACGATGCCCAACAGCAAATGTTGTCCCAAGCCGACAGCGGTCGCTGTTGGGCAGGCGACCGTGTATCTCGAATGGCCAAGGCCCGCGGCGGCACCGACCGCAACTCCAGTTCAAAATGGACAAGACCTGTTGTTGGTCTTCGTCCCTATGTCGATCGTTCAAAAAGCGTCGGCCAACCCGAGTCCTGGTGAACTAGAGTCCTACGTGTCCCCGAGACTGGGGCCTTCACCCGCGACCCCAGCCCCTCATCCTGAGCCCCGAAGAGTCGAAGAACTTCAGGACCTGCTCCCTGGGTAACACGAAGCCAGGACCTGACAGGGGCGGGGCGAGCCCTAGACCCCTATCTTTCTGTTCTGTTTTCCGAGCCCGATCGATATGTAAAGGCCCTGGGGCCCGAAACCGTGCGCCCGTTGCGAAAAAAATGCGACGCCCGGATCAGAGGGTACGTCGCCCCGAAACACTTTTGGCGTCGGCGGCCAGGCAGAGTAGCTGCGTCGGCGATGGAGCAGACACAACGGGGATGCCGCTGAAACGAATATTGCGTCACAGTGCAGGAGAAGAGGGAAGAGACAGGGAGGGAGGCCGCAAGAGGAGAGAGGGCGCGAGGGCCGCTCAGGGGGACGGGTCTCCCCCTGGAGGCACCCGCAAAGCCCCACAAAAACGCACGCCCTGTGCCGTCCGAGAGCCTCGTCCAGCCCCACCACCCTCCTCCTCCTCCTCCTCCTCCTCCTCCTCCTCCTCCTGCTCCTCCTCCTCCTCCTCCTGCTCTCCTTTTCCTCCTCCTCCTCCTGCTCCTTTTCTCCTCTCTCCTCTCCTCCTCTCCTCTCCTTCCTTTCTCCTCCTCCTCCTGCTCCTCCCTTCCCTCCTCCTCTCCTCCTCCTCCTCCCTCCTCCTCTCCTCCCCTCCTCCTCCTTCTCTCCTCCTCCTCCTCTCCTCCCCTCCTCCTCCTCCTCCTCCTCCCTCCTCCTCCTGCTCTCCTTCTCCTCCTCCTCCTCTCCTCCTCCTCCTCCTACTCCTCCTCCTCCTCCTCCTCCTCCCCGCCTCCTCCTCCCCCTTCCTCCTTCCCTCCTCCTCCTGCTCCTCCTCCTCCTCCCTCCGTCCTCCTCCTTCCTCCCTCCTGCTCCTCCTCCTCCTTCCTCCTGCTCCTCCTCCTCCTCCTGCTCCTCCTCCTCCTCCTCCTGCTCCTCCTCCTCCTCCTCCTCCTCCTCCTCCCCCTCCACACCCGGAGCGAGTAAGAAGTGCCGCCCCTAAACGCCCGACGCGGAGCGGGGCCGGGGCCCCCGGAACTGCCCGCCGCGTCACCGGCAGTGCCCGGGCGCCGAGCGGGCGCGCCGGCGCGGCGCCCTGGCAGCCAGCGCGCCGCCTCGGCAACGGGCCGCTGGCCGCCAGGGCGCCGCGGGCGGCCAGGGCGCCGCCAGCGCGGCGGCAGGCACCTCTGCGCGGGCGACGACGACGACGCCGCCAACGACGCCGCCGACGACGACGGCGAGGACGACGGCGCCGCCGCCGACGCCGCCGCCGCCGCCGACGACGACGACAACGACGACGACTACGAGGACGAGGACGATGACGACCATGGAGTCGGAATCGGATCGGATGGGCTGCGCCAAGATGCACAACACCGCCGTACAAGCATCAGACCGCGTCGGATCGTCGCAATATTGGGTTCGAATCGGATCAGGCTGGATGGCATCAGCATCGAAATGTGATCGAGATGGACCCTGTTACGTCCCTACCTCCTCTCGTCGTGAAGACATCGTAACAGGAGGTTTTTTGCAGTCCTGCGATGTTTTCGTCGGATGTTTTCGAGGCTCAAGGTTTTCGGACATTTTCGTCGGTTCTCGGCACTTTTCTGGCCTCGGGGCGCTTTCCAGCAGCTGCGCCTCGCCGAGAGCGTTGTGGGGGTGCGCGGATCGTCCCGAACGGCCGCCGGGGAATCGAGATGACCCGACCCCCCCACCTAATTTTTGTTGGTGCCTTGCCCCCCCCCTCCCCGCACTCGGGACGACGATGACGACGATGACGACGACGACGACGATGACGATGATGACGACGACGACGACGACACGAGCACAGAGGGGGGAACGAACGACGCTGCGGCAGGGGAGAGTACACCCAGGGCTGCCAGGGCGGCGAAGCGCGCTGGGCTCTTGCGCCAGTGTCCCTTCCCCCCGTCCAGACGCACTCTTGCGCGGGAGCGTCAGGGAGGATAGCCCAGGGGTGGATCGCCCAGGGGTGGATCGCCCAGGAGGGAATTCCTCCTCCTCTAAGGGTGTGTACGCCTTGCGGGTGATTGCTCTCCCCAGATCTCAAAGAGTGGGGAGCAAACTTTGTATCGAATTCGTCGTGGTCTTCATCCCCACTACTCGTGTGGGGTGGCGGTCGGGTCCACCTGTCGTCTTGCCGCCACGATTTTGCTCGAGGCTGCCGCTACGCCGACATCGACGTCGAGCTCCTCGAGAACCAGGCTCATTCCGACCTCGGGGATGTTGGCGCTCGCCGAGCGCATCAAGGCACGGGAGCAGGCGGCCAAAGCGTCCTCTTGCTGATGCTGCTGCTGGTTTTTGTTTTTCAGTTACGTTCTGCCTCGGGGCCTTCGAGGAAATCCTCCTCCCCCTCCCCCTCCTCCTCCTCCGCCTCCCTCCTCCTCCTCCTCATTATCCTGATTCTTATCATCCTCCTCCTTCTTCTCCTCCTTCTTCTCCTCCTCCTCCTCAATATTCTGATTCTTATCTTCCTCCTCCTCCTGTTCGAGGCGGCTCTCGGTGACTTCTGGCCTCGGGGTGCTTTCCAGCAGCTGCGCCTCGCCTCGCCGACAACGTTCCAGGGGTGCGCGGATGGTCCCGAGCGGTCGCTAGGGACCTCTCCGAAGCGCACACTGCTTGGCTCACTCCCGCTCGCCCTGCCAACACATAAATCCGCCACCGTGCCGCGAGGCGCGACGTGGAGTTTGCTCCCGGTCTTTATGTGTCCTTTGTGCTCTGTGCTCAAGACTCTGGGATTCTAATCCTCTAAGGTCCTGGGCGTATCCGTGCTTTCTTGGGCTGCGCAAGAAGCCAGAGGGCACCAAGGCGGACCAAGAGGGCCCCAGAAAGCGCCCAGGAGGGTCCAAGAGGCCTCCAAAACTGCCCAAGAGCGCTCCAAGACGCCCAAGATGGCCCCACGACTGCCTACGAGGCCCCCCCAAAGCCCCCACAGCGTTCCAAGTGGACCCCCAAGAGGATCCAAAGAGGCACAACTCATTTACTTCCTTAATGCTTTTCCATGTTTTCACGTTCCCGCGTTTTCGGGCTTCCGACGCTCCAAGAGCCCCAATACGGCCCCAGAGGCCCCCCAAAGGGTTCAAGGACGGTCCAAGAGGGCCCCAAAACGGCCCAAGAGGCCCCCAGGAGGCCCCAAGTGGTCTCAAGAGAGCCCACAAGGACCCCATAGAGGGCCCAGGAGGCCCGCAAGAGGCCCAACAAGAGGCGCCAAGAGGCTTCAAACGGTCCCCAAGAGGTCTCAAAACTGTCTCCAAGAGGCCCCCGAGGTGCCTCCAACGATATCCAAACGAACGTCCAAGAGGCCTTTAACCCACAACCCAAGCACGGTGGCGGGGTGGGCCGAAGGTTCCTGACATGGCAAGCGAGTTTTAGCATATTTAGCGGTCGTCTTTGGATGGGCAGCTTACTGGGGCAAGTAATGGCCCAAGTGCACGACGCTGGGCGAGGTGCGCCACGCGTGCCATGCGCGCCACGCGCATGAGGCGCGCCAGGCGCCCCTGAGGCCCAAGCGTGCCAGGCACGCCTGGTGCGCACGATGTGCCACGTGCTCCACGTGCGCCAAATATGCCGCATACTCCAGACGCGTCACTGCGCCACGTTTTGGGCACTCGGGACACATGTCGTCCCCCAGCGGGCGGCGACGGACTGAAATGTTGCGAATCCTCGATGCACCCACACAAGAGGCAGCGGACGGCGACGGCCGGGAACGATCCGAGTCCTAGGGGGAAAACGTTCTGATGGAAACAAACACTGCAACATACTATCACCGATCGTGGACCCCAAGCTATGGTTTCTAGCCGTGTACGTGGTGCAACCTATTTCGTGCCAGCTATGTGGTGCAATCGAGGTGGTGCAATTTTGCGCTGCAATCTATGCGGCGCAGGTGATTTTCATAAACGAATTGACACATCCCATGCTCTTGCAAGCGTCCCACCCACCCACACGCACCTCGGTTTGCAAAACCCACGCGGCGGCGATTGCGATGAGTGCTTGGCGTTGGCTGGTGCATCTGCGCGGCCGCGCTAGCCCGCGTACGCCGGCCAACTAGTTTGGCGCGACCGGCGCAGCCGCGGTGGCTCTGACAGCTGGGCATTTCCCAGCGGGCACTTCAGTGCGAGTCGGCGGCTTGGGCGGGCGCGGTATCATGACGACGCCGACAACGGTAGACACGATTATGGGAGTAGCGATGTTGGTGACGAAGGCAAGGCCAATGACGGCGCCGATGTTGATCACGCCCGCCGATAACGATGACGATGTCCTCGCGTCGGCGATGAATTTTTTTGAAGTTCGACATGTGCGCGGCCGACGCGCGCAATTGGCCCGCGTGGTGTTATTTGAAACGGATCGTGCCCCCCCAGCACGCGTGCAAGAGCGTTCGAATGAGTTCGACATGCGGCGCGAAAGGCCCGTTTGGCAGCATAATTTGATGAACAAGTTAGAACATCGATGGTTTTCTTAAGAACCCGCATGAGCGCGAGCGCACGCTTTTTTTGGTTGAGACCTGACGTTGCAAAAACCGTGTGTTTTGATATGTTTTCGGGGCGCTCGATTTTGGAATCCTGACGACACCGAAAGTTTTTTTCGAGGATTTCGGTATACGCGCGCGACGACGCGCGCACGTGCACTTCGTCCCGTTTTCTGCAAGGGGTTCTTGCGACAGCACGCGCGCAGAAGGGCTTTTGAACGTTTTCGACACGCGCGTGCGAAAGGCCAGCTTGAAGCATTTTATGGAAACTTTGAAAACCTATGCTTTTCTCAAGCATTTGCACGAGCGCGAGCGCATCTTGTTGCTATTGATGTTGTTGTGGTTGTGGTTGTCGTTGTTGTTGCTGCTGTTCTTGTTGTTATTGTTGTTGTTGATGATAATTTTGTGCTGCAAACCATTTTCCCTTGCACCCGATTTAAAAATAATTGCGACGCCGAAAACTTTCCAAATATTTCGGCATGCGCGCGCGGCGACGCGCGCGCGCAGTTCGTCCTCTGTTTTTGCAAGGGGTTCCTGAACATTGGTGATTGTTGATAAACCAGAGCGCGCGCAAATGTATTCTCGCAACAATGGCGGGGGGTGTCGATACCGGCCTGGCTGGGATGGTGCGGATTCATATTTAGGGTGAGTGCGAGTCGGCGACTTGGGCGGGCGCGGTATCATGGCAACGTCGACAACAATATACGCGATGATGATAGTAACGATGCTGGTTACGATGTTGACAACGACGACGGCACGGCCAATGACGGCGCCAATGCTGGACGCGCCGACGACGATGACGGCGTACTTGCGTCGGTGATGAAGGTCTTGGATGGAGTTCGGTATGCGCGTGCAGCCGACGCGCGAAAGCGGCCCGCATGGTATTATTTGACACGGATCGTGCCCCCCGAGCACGCGTGCAAGGTCGTTCGACTGATATCGGCATGCGGCGCGAGAGGCCCGTTTGGCAGAATTCAATGAACAGATTGAACAGCTTATGGTTTTTCGGAAGAATTCGACAGAGCGCGACCGCAAGTTTTTGTGAATATGAAAAACATGGTTTCGCGAGACTCAGTTTTGAAAGTATTGCGATGCCTACGGTTTTTGAGGGATTTCGGCATGCGCGCGCGACAACGCGCGCGCATGCACATCGTTTTTTTTTTGTGTGTGGCCAAGGGGTTTTGCGACAGCACGCGCGCAAGGGCGTCCGAACGATGTCAACGTGCGCTCGCGAGAAGCCCGTATGGTAGCATTCTATGAAACAAATAAGCAGTGGTTTCCTGGAAGTTAGCAAAAGCGCGCGCGCTAGTTAATTATTATGTTGTTTTTTTATGTCGGGATGGGGGACATCCATGCTGTTAAATCATGCGTTGTTATTCTCGGCATGCGCGCGCGACGACACTTCGTCTCAATGTTTGCATGGGGTTCTTCAGAACTGATGATCATTGATCAACGAATGTGCGCGCAGTATTTTTGGCATACGATGATGGGGCGGTGTCGATACCAGCCTGGCATGGATGGCATGGATTCAAATTTAAAATGGGCGATGGGGCAGAATCGTATGTAAATTGCATTACGAAGAAGGGTGCCGATCATCCCGGGGGGGTAGAATATATTTATTCTTTTTTAAGGAAG